AGATATTGATAATTTGTATTGCATGTTTTCATAACAGAGCTGAAGAAATTAAAGTAAATTACATTTAGAAAATATAGACTTTATATTTTAAATTTCTGATAGCTATAGTCATTGAGGGAGAGTTTACTTTTTTTTAAAAAAAATGCTGTTGATAAATATCACAGAAGCTATTATAGCGTGGCCCATGGACACATCCCTTTTCCCATTGCAGCGAAGTGATAAGCTTTTCTAGGATGGTGCCTGTTGCAAAACATATATGTATCAGACGGTTTCTTTGGCAAAAACGGTTCTTATATAGATTTAAGCTATTTAAAACTTGCAACAACTCATCTAACATTTCTTTAATAAAGGTGACAGAAGTAATTTCACAACTTCAGGGTTTGAAAGTAAAAGCTGTCACATGCAGACTTTGAAGAGTTTCTGGCAAAGAGACAGCTAAGAGACTGAAAATGTCTCCAGTGTTATCTTGCCACTGCCATAAATTTTCTAAGCCTAAGGCACACCTCTATATCTTGTCTTAGCTGTCCCATGTGCAATGGTGGGGTAATGCTATTGTTGCTGAGATGGTGTGAGCAAAGCTCTTTGAACACTTTAATATGTTGTATAAATGTTCATGCTATAGAATGTCAGGCATCGTGAAAAGAGTGTCTGTTTTAATAGGCAAAAGACACTTGTGGCCTGAGGCTCTGAACTTCTTTAAATGAAGTTTAGAGGCTAGCAAACTTGGCCTGTGGGTCTTTCAAACTTTTCTCATCCCTCTTCTTGTTCTTCTGGCTGATAAAATCATGCAAGGCTAACACAGACTGCATCTCAAAAATAAGCTTTTTTCTAAGCCAACGAGCATAGCCCTAAAATGTCATTTCAGATTTATAAACAGATGATTTAATTTTATTACTCCTACTTGAAATTTGCTGCATTAAGATCATTAAAAAAAGAGAAACAACTATTTTATCTAACATACTGATTCTTTTCGTTTATTGTACAGTAGTGATTGTGAATGTGAAAACTTAGCATCTTTGGTATTCTCTTAAGTATTAAGGAGTGATGTTGAATGCAGTCTTAGCCGGGGTTCATTAAAAAAAAGAGCTTGTATTTTTATATTGTTTAGTGCAGTGGTTCTCAACCTTTTTAATGCCGCGACCCCCAACCGGTCGTAAGTTGAGGACTACTCAACCGATCATAAATCGAGGACTACTCAACTGGTGCAGCACCGTTTGCAGAATGGGACTTTTGGCGGGCTCAGCAGGGCGGAGACAGCCTAGACAATTCCTATTGGCTTTTGAAAGCCAATAGAATTAAACTCTATTCAAGAGAGTCTATTCTATTGGCTTTCAAAAGCCAATAGAATAAAAGGGAGTAGCACAGCTAAGGAAAAGGGGGAAAAAATGGCGGACTGTGTTGTTTGGCAACCCCCGTGAAATGGTCGTTCGACCCCAAATGGGGTCCCGACCCACAGGTTGAGAACCATTGGTTTAGTGTATCTGTTAACCTAACAATACTTGTTAGAATATATTGTGCTTCTATTTTTTTCTCTTCTATTTTGCAACTGTGGGAGAGCTCCTGTTTGTGTATGTCAGGTGTTTTGCCAGAATTTTCAAAAATTAATTTCTATAACAAAAAGGCCATAAGCTCCTAAAGTTTAATTTAAACTTAATTAAATTAATGTATCTCATTCAGTAGTTTCAATATTTTAATTGGCAAAATCTAGTTAATTTCTACAACATCATAATCATGATCCACAAAGAAATTTATATGTCATCAAGGTATCCATGGGAAAAAAAGTAATTAACAGGAATCATAATAGCATTGTGTAGTCTCTAGAAAAGGCATGGTGTGAAAACAGATAAAATAATAATAAAGAGCCCGCAATACTAATACCATGAAATCACAGAGGTTGTCTTGTGTAAGAAATTCTGTTAAATCTGAAATATTGCTAGTGTAAACATTGTGTGATATTTAGAAAGAGAGAGTAAATTGAGGCACCTTGGAGAGGTGTGGAGCGGTAGAGTTGATTTCCTATAATTATAATGGATGAAATTGTGCTTATTTCATTCTGATATTTCATATCTAAAACCCTTTGCTTAAGAACTGATCGTTCATATCCCAAGGGAAATAATCTCTTCAGGAGTACTAGGTTTAAGCATAATCTTTTGTCTGTGGTTCTCTTCCAGTTAGATTGAAATCTGTTGACTAAGTAAGAAGAGTTAAGTTCCTTGGGACTAAAATGAACTTCAAGCAGAAGTTAGAGGTGGTAAATCCATCCAAGGCCAAATTCTATTTGAAAGGCGATATGGCATACATATTAAATCATCTTGAATGCATCCCTCAAAAGTTAAAAGTTGCACTAAGTGAGGAATACCTTTGTCATCATATTATTTGAAAATCTCAAAGATATAAATTGAATAAAAATAGTTAATAGTTAGCATTATCTTATGTACATTTGTGTGTGTGTGTATATACTATGTGTGTGTGTTTGTGTGTGTAGTGTAGTGTAAAAGCATAGAACAGTGTTCCTCAACCTGTATTCCTTAAGTTCTTCAACTTCCAGAATTTGTGGGGAAATCTTGGGAAATTCTGGAAGTTGAAGTCCACACATCTTAAAGTTCTCTAGATTGGGAAAGACTGGTGTACAAGTTTATAAAACCTCATCCCTAAAAATAACGTATGTGACACTTCTTGTGCCTTTTTAATTATTTTAAGCAATCACTAATTTTTACACCTTTTTTCTAGCTTCTAGAATATAATAAATTTTCTATAATTTACTGATTGCTCAGGGACTCGTTTTTGTTAAAGAAAAGCAGCATAGTAAACATTGGCTAATGTATTTGAAAGCAAATTATAGGTTAATGAAATTTAACATTGAGGCAAAACAATGTGTTTTCTTCTCTTGTTTTGTGAAATAGTTGGAGATAAACTGGAACACAATTAATAGGCCGGTTCAGCCCTTTTGTGAAAGTTCCCATATGCTAGAAAAAGATGCAGTTGGTTTAAGTAGAGGTAGATAATAGCTATATTTACAATCCTGTACACTCTAATGTTTTTTCTAACATTCTAAAATCATGAAAATGGGAGCAGAAGGGGAAGTGAAACATGTAACTATTGAGGGATACACAGAATATGACATAGAACATATGTAATACTACAAAAATTACTTTGAAGCAAAAATCTGCTGCGTGAACAGTAATGCTATTGAACTGAGGGATTAGACGCAGATATAGCATGTTCCAAGAGGGTGTATATCAATTCTGAAAAAATCCAGAACAACTTATGATCCTTACAGACTGCTAAATTCCTTTAAATTGGGATTAGACCAGTTCATGAAGGACAAGACGTGAATGTTTAGTAATAATTATGGCTACTTAATTTACTCAGTATGAATCTCATACCCGCTATGGGGAATTAACCACCCACATTGGCCAATGATTCTTTTTGGTGTACATTGTAAAACAATACAAAATAAATATGTATGACCGTTGAGTAAAACTGTTGCCACAAATATTAATATAATCAAGAAATAGGGCCCTTAACATATTTGGAGCCCTGGGCCTGGACATATAACCAGGTCCTCAGGACCTTATAAAAGGTCAGAAGGTCAGGATCATCTTGATCTTTGAAGATATAACATTCAGGAAGAATATTTCAGAAAGCAGAAAAGAAGTACCACAGAGAAGACATGTCTCTTAGTCCCGGCTAGCTTACATTCTTTAAGTGACAGGACCCAACCTGCTGGACTGAATTAAACACCTGGGAGAAGATATCCCTGTAGGAAACCCTCTTCTAAGTCATGAAGGGCTTTAAAGGTGACAACCAGCACCTTGAATTGCACCTGAAACATTCTGGCAACTAATGCAGCTCACACAGTAGTATTACATATCTCAAATATCCAGGGATATGATACAGATACTGTATGTAGTAGATCAGTGTTAAAGAACACGGCTACTCTCACTTACTTTAGTGTGCTTGGTTAAGATGTTAACATGTCATATCTCATCCTAGAATATATTAATCAAAGCATTCACATTTATATGCAAAGAAAGCAGTCATTAACACAAGACAATGTAATATCCAGGGTGTGGCATTACAATAGCAGGTGTGCAAGTTAGTTGGACAACCGTTTTGTTCAGGTTTGACATTTGAATTTTGGTAATGTATGAGTTAAAATGTAAATGGGAATTCAAACAGGCAAAGAGTTTTTATTTTAGGAAGAACGATAATGCAAAATTGTAACTTCCTATTTGTGTTTGCGTCTCAAAAAGCTTTTGCTTTTTTAAGTACATTGTATAATCATGTTGGTACCAAGGAGAAAATTCATTACAGAGGTTAAATTTGAAGTAGTTTCTCCCCTTGCTGATGATGAAATAGCTAAATATCTGTTTGTAACCCATTTATTTAAAATGAAGAGTAGGATGTCTATATTAATTTTCCATATCTTTTTTATAATGAATGTCTCTTAGGTATTTAGGATAATGTAGGTGTCAAATGTTCTCTTCCTTATTCTTCATTTTTTTTTTTACTTCATATATATGTGTGCATGTGTATATGAAGGGAGTCAGGGATCATTGTTTGACACCAGAAAATTAAACTAGCTTCATTTTTAGTTGCTTAGGCTGTATTAAATAGATAGCAAAGAATATCATGGTTTTAAAAGATAAGTGTCAGAAGCCTAAAGTAGACATTCAGACTTTTGAATTAATGGGATAGAAGTTCAATAATTGTATGGATTTCAGTAAGCTTGAAAAGGAACGGCATTCCTACCAGGCTGCTGTGATTATTAAAACATTGAGTTTCCTGCAAATACGTTGTCCTTAGATTCTGTGTTTACAGGCATAACAAAAGATGGAAACTTGCAAGGACAGCAGGTTGTGTAGATTTAGAACATGTATCTGTTATACATTTCCTTCTAAAAGTAACGGTCTAGTGAAGAAATGTTACAAGAGGAATTGTGCCTCATTTCTCTCTCGTCTCCCTCTCTCCCTTTTTTTGTTTTTTTTTTCATGTAGGGCCCTCCTGATTTTCAACAAAACACTCCTGGACCTGTTCCTAGCAATTTCAACCAAGGCCCACGACTTTCCCTCCAAGATCAGTGGCGAGGACCTCCACCCCCTCTTCCTCCCCCACCTCCACAGGAGAGGGAACCTTTCTTCATGGGAGGTATGACCATTGTCTTACCGAGTGGGAAGACACGCTTTCCTTGATTCTCAGGGACAGGATTGGGCATAAACCATGAAGCCAGAATCTGCCACATCTTATCATTTGTCCCGTTTTCCTTTGTTTTGGAGTCCAGCATTTAGCAATTACATGCATACCTTTGAAGCAGGCTGGTTAGTAGCCCAGACCTTTCTCTGTACGTTGTTTCCTTGTTAATGCATTCTTAACCACCAGAAAATTTTCAGGAAGTGATGCACTAACTACAGGGTGATTTGTCTACACAATTGGTGACTTCTAGTTGGAGTAGAGAGTACTGGCTAATGGAAGAAATCATTGGCAACTCTCTGTGAGACTTTTATTTCCAGTGGGGTTGGGCCAGAACTGGTATTTTGCTTGGCAGATGAGTTGGTGTCATGCTGTCTCCTTTTTTTTTTTTTTAAATCTTTCTGACAGAACCGAGATTTCCCGGCCATCACTTGTTTGAACAGCGGAGCCCACCACCCCCACCCCTTCTTAACAGCACGCACTCTGTGCCTAGCCAAAATCAGCTCTCATTCAGTCAGCCTGGACCTGGTTTCAGCCAGCAGGGGCAGCAACCGCTGTTTCCAAGAGAAAGGCTGGTAAGGCCAACTCTGCAGCCTCAGGGCCCCCTGGGAATCCTTCATTTCAGCCAGCCTGGAGCAGCCAACGCACGCCCCTTTCTTCCCCCACGGCAGTCCTTCCTGCAGGTCCCAGGACAGCCGTTCTTAACCCCTCTCACCCAAGCCGGCATGCAGGTATGTAATAATCAGGACAGCCCTCCTCATCTCTGTTGAGTCTCGTCTCCATGACCCTTGTAACACGAACTCTCCTGTGTAAGTCCTCCAGTGCCTTTGTTCTTCCCTCGTGTTCCTTTCTTGTCTTTTTGCAGGAATATGATTTTAGAGCAGTGTTTCTCAACCTTGACAATTTTAAGGCATGTGGACTTCAATTCCCAGAATTCCGCAGCCAGCATTGCTGGCTGCGGAATTCTGGGAGTTGAAGTCCACATGCCTTAAAATTGTCAAGGTTGAGAAACACTGTTTTAGAGAATAATACAGATCTGCTATCTGCAGTCACTTAAAGAAAAAGATGGCAACTTTCTTGTTTGGTACTTGGGAGAATATAGCAATCTTTTTACTGTGCCTTTTTTTGGCCCCTTCGTTCAAACCCTCTTATATGTAAAGCAGTCCCTTCTTTCAAATTTCAGGCTAAGGGTAAAGTAAATTGTGGATATTGACCTGCCTAGCATACTCGTGCTGTAAAAGGGATTCTGGGAGTTGTAGTCCAAAGCTATCTGGAGTGTGCCATTTTTTCTGAAGGGGGGGGAAGCTGTTACAGGTTATTACATTTAGTCTTTCCTCAGATCATACATTGCTTATAAGAGAAGCTTCCTTATAAATGAGCTTAAATACTTAATGTTTGAAGCAATTTAAACCTGCCTTTTTACTGCTGTGCCAAGCTGGATAGCATTACTCTCCCTACCACCACAGCCACCGGTGGCCAGCACTAATTGTATTTATAAGGGATAACTGCAACTATATCATGAGAATGCTTAAAAAGTGAAGACATTAAAAAAAGGTTGATTTTTGTGAAGCTGTTCACAGAGCTAATGGGATTAGAGAAGTTTGTAATACGACATTCTGTTACATATTCCATGGTTTCCTAAATTGATTTACTCCAGAAGAGGTCCAGAAGTCTATTTCCGGAAAACAAGTTTCTGTGGTGTATCTGTTAAGCATGTATTTATAAATATTAGATCTGGAACACTACAAGACTTAGAGCTCCCTCTGCTGGTGCTTCAATTTCTTCCGTGAGAGCTCAGATAACAAGACCAACTTCCGAGTAGTTTGTTTGCTGAAGCATTTTTTAAAAAAGATTCTATTTTTTTTAATTAAAATTGAATATGTTCAGATTCTAGCTGTGATCTTCACCTTCATCCCAAAAAGGAAGAGCTCCAGTGTAATTCAGGAGAGCCCTTCGATTAATCTGAATTCACAGATTAGAATTGGGTGTTGTTTTAATTGGGTTATGCAGCTCTTTGGATTTGAAGATTGAAAGTAGGTCAGAGAAAACAGAAATTCAAACTTTAAAGCAGACAATACAGGTAGTAAGAATGATGGAATAACAAAGTTGGGAGATTGGCGATCATCTAGTCCAACCCCCTGCTCAGGTAGGAAACCCTATACCATTTCAGACAAATGGCTGTCCAGGCACTTTTTAAAAACTTCCACTGTTGGAATACCAACTTCTGGAGGCGGGTTGTTCTACTGATTAATTATTCTAACTGTCAGGAAATTTCTCCTTAGTTCTAGATTGGAGCTTTCCTTGATAAGTTTCCATTTGTTATTTCTTGTTCTGGCTTTGGGTCCTGTGGAGAATGGGTTGTAGTCCTCGACTTACAACCACAAATGGGACCAAAATTCCTATTGCCAAGCAAGTTGGTTGTTAAGTGAGTCACACCTGATTTTACAACTGTTTTTGCCACAGTTGTTAAATGTATTATTCTAGGTTTTACATGAATCCTGCAGCTAATCCAGCTCCTCCCATTGACTTCGCTTGTCAGAAGCTGGCTGGGAAGGTCACAAATGGCAGTCACATGACCTGAGGATGTTGCAACTGTCACAAACACATGCTGTTTGGCAAGCACCTGAATTTTGAGCACGTGATCATGGAGATGCTGTGACGGTTGTAAGTGTGGGAACTAGTCATGTCACTTTTTCTCAGTGCCTTGGTAACTTCGAATGGTCACTAAACAAGTGGTTGTAAGTCAAGGACTATCTGTAGTGTCTTTTTTCTGGATTACACAGCTTTTGCTGCTGTCTAATCTTAGGAAAATATATTTAAAAAGTCTCAGTCAGATGGTACTTCCACTGGCATATACACCTAAGCACTTACTGTCTTCAGCTCCCAATTTCTGAAAAACCTTAGTTTCTTTTAAGAGTTTTTTTTTCTTGTTAAGTAATGATTGTATCTTGTTAGCAACCAGGGAGTAAATGTGACTTCACGCCTGCCATGTTTTCAAATGTACAGGGCCCTTTGCACCCTCCTTTGCAGCCACAGCCACCACCACAGCAGCCGTCCCAACCATCCCAGCCTCACCACCAGCCGCACCAGTCCAACCAGCAGCAGCACCTGCTGCCTGTGCCTCCCCAACCTCTGATTCCGGTGGCCCCATCCCAGTTCAGGCCACGCCTACAGACTTCACAGCCAAGCGGTAACCGGATGCCATACCAGCAACGGCAAAGTCTGGTAAAGGCCAGGCATGTAAGTGTCCTTTCCATATAGAAACCAACAGGGGCTCACATAAGGCAGGGGCAAGACCTAAACAGTCACCTTGGAAAAAGGTGTGAGTTCTTACCACTCTTACTGATTGCCCCTGACCACTCCCTGTGTTTGTATTTATCATTTCTACCCAGACAGATGTAGGTGGCTGGAATCTGTGCGGCATTTTTATTTTGAACATTTATATCCAGCCTTTCTGCTGGGAGTTTGCGGGAACGGGCTGGGGCTGTCCACTAGTGTGATTCATTTATTTAAATCTATTGGTCACCCAGATTTAATGTTATATGAAAGTAGGAAAAAAACCCCATAAAAATACTAAAAATCATCAGATTGCATGGGCAGCCCAGGCTACACCCCCCCCCCCGAATAAACAGCAAAACAAAACAAGGGCCTTAGACAAATCATAAATATAGACTTTGGGCTTGAGAACAAAAACAGATTTTCAAAGCTTTCCAGAAGCCTAGGAGAGAGGACCATTCTTATCTCTGGGGAGTTGCTGTTCCAGAGGGTCGGGGCCACGAGAGAAGGTATGCTTCCTTGATCCCACACAATGGCAAGGTTTAATAGAGAGCCCCCATTTTTGCCCATTGGGTGGGCAAAAACTATTGGAAATAAGTGGTCTCTCAGATATCCAGACTCTATGCAGTATAAAAATTATAGTTACACAAGATAAATTCTTTTACTCCAAATTAGGCTGAAAGAGTTGTCCAGTTATATCCCTATAGAAGAGTAGGCGTTTGAACCAAGGCCCATTGGCCCATGTCCTCTCTCTTAACCGCTACAAAGTGCTCTGGAAGTAATTGCATCCCATCTGTTTTCCTTTCTCCTCTCATTCCACACACATCCTTCTACATCCCCCGTGAGGAGTCATTTTAATATGACTCCATTCACCCATCTGTTGACATACCAGATTGGTATAATATGGAGTCAAGCTGCCACCATATAGGCAAACACTTGTCTTTCAGTTGATGGGACTCTCAAGGATAAGGTTTTAGGAGCTGGGAATCAGTAGTTTAAAAAAGGGCTATAGATTATCTACCATTACCATAGATTATGAGTTCAATATCAGGAGATGTAAGGAGTTTCCCATTCATCCCACCACTGGGCCTGGGCCACCCAAATAGGTAGCCTGGAATGAAAGTAGCTAAGGTTGCTTTCACTGGAATTTATTACAACCCCATCCCCCAGGGAGCCATGAATAAGGCTGAAATAAAGAAAATGTATTTTTCTTTCTAAATAAGAAAGAAAATGCAAAGGCAGTTTAAAACTAGCAGCTTGTAATCTACAATATCACATAATTCCCAAGACATAAATAGGCACCCGAAGTATTTACAGTATTGTTTATTAGAAAACACATGATAGCAAAGAGAAGCAGGATTGAGTGTCTCAACACAATAGTCTGTGTTAATAAAGTGATAGTAAGGTGAGCTCATCTGAAGCGGAGGCTGAACTTATTGGAATTATAGGTAGTCCTCGACTTACAACCACAACTGAGCTCAAAATTTCTGTTGCTAAGCGGGACAGTTGATAAGTGAGTTTTGCTCCATTTTACGACCTTTCTTGCCACATTTGCTAAGTGAACCAATGCAGTTGTTCGGATAGTAACACGGTTGTTAAGTGAATCTGGCTCCCCCATTGACTTTGCTTATCAGAAGGTCGCAAAAGGCAATCACGTGACCTTGGGATGCTGTCATGTATGGGAACCAATTGCCAAACGACTGAATTTCGATCATGTGACCATGAAGATGCTGCAATGGTTGTAAGTGTGAAAAACAGTAATAGGTCGCTTTTTTCATTCTAGCTTTGAACAAACTGTTGTAAGTCGAGGCTACCTGTATAGTTGTGAAACTAACAAAACTAGGATTTGGGCACACTGAAACTAAAATCAAAACTTGTAACCCAATCCAGCTGGTTACTTACAGCAGATCCTGGAACTCTACGTGTCATTGATTATTTTCTGAGTTCTATAAGTTTCTCGTTCCATATTACTTAAAGCAGGGCAGACTTTTCCTTCTTCCGACAGACGATGAAATGTCTCTAGCAAAGTCCATCCTGGCTAGTTGATCTCAGGGTAGGAGGGCTGTAGGAAAGAGGTGTTTCTCAGGAATTTAGCCAAATGGACCTCCGCTACTCCTTACTAGAGGGAGAAGATTGTACCACCCATATATCAATTCTTCTCCATTGAGGAACCCTAAAATTTGACTTGGTAGAGGATGAGACCGTTACATCTTCACAGGATAAGGTTTTTATGTTGTTGTTTTTTGTTTGTTTCAGAACACACCGGCACAAAACATTTTAAAACGTCCAAATCAGCAGTCCCCATCATCTGCCTCAAGAAATAGTAATTTGCGTGAATTGCCCATAGCACCTTTGCATGCGATTGACACTGCTAACAACAACCGGCAAACTCCAGCTCCTTCTGTTCAAGTGAAACCGGTTTCTAGCATCACAGCTGCTATGAAGCCTCTTGCAGGTATCAAGAACCAAGTGGGAAAGATGGAGTCCAAGCCAAAAACAGTTACTCCCACGTCTCAGCCTAAAGTGGAGGTTAAATCTGAACCAGAGGTAAGGGTCCCCTCTAGCAGAGGCCTAGGTACACTGAGTGGTCATCTTTGTTTCAACAGCCTTCTTGACCAAAGAACTTTTGCTTTTCAGTACTCTTCTGTACTCACGTCCCAGTTTTATTACCTGCCAAAATGTGTTCTTTTTTATGTTCAGAAACTTTAAATTTTGATTTAATAGACCACTCAGACAGAAGAGGTGTTTGTTAAGCCTGGATACTTATTAAATCTGAAAGGTACTTTTGTGCTTGCATAAAAAAAAACCTGATTGCCATTTGGCACATGTCTAAAAGTGTGCAGCCTGGAGAGCTCTCTTGCATTGCAAAATCTGAGGAAATCTCTTTCCCGCTAATTTTTTCAATGGCCTACTACTCCATTTTTCCCATCTTTTGCTTGAGGGATAGCGTTGCCCATCTCACAGCAGTGAGTTTGGGTGGTGTACAGTTCTATCACAACAGTACAAACCATTAGAACAGGGGTAGGCAACACTGGCTCTTTTTTGACTTGTGGACTTCAGCTCCCAGAATTCCTGAGCCAGCATGGCTCAGCTTGGAAACTCTTTCCCCTCAGCATGGCTGGCTCAGGAATTCTGGGAGTTGAAGTCCATGAGTCATAAAAGAGCCGAGGTTGCCTACCCCTGCCCTAGATGGCCATTTAGGTATTCAGACAAGGGAGATGGAAACCTTCCCATGAAAGCCGGGACACTCATGTTTAAGCTGCTACATCTTTCCAAATGATTACACTTCCCTTTGAGCAGCCAGCTTGGGGGGGGGGGTGTCAGAGCAAGGAGCAAACCTTCTTTCTTCAACATTTCATTAAAATTATTAAAGGTAGTCCTCAATTGAGCCTAAAATTTATGTTGCTGTGTGAAACATTTGTTAAGTGAGTTTTGCCCCGTTTTATGTCTTTCTTGCCACAGTTGTTCAGTGAATCATTGAAGTTGTTAAGTTAGTAACATGATTAAGTGAATCTGGCTTCCCCACTGACTTTGCTTGACCATGGGGATGCTGCAACAGTTGTAAGTGTGAAAAATGGTCATAAGTTACTTTTTTTTAGTGCCATTGTAACTTTGAATGGTCACTAAATGAACTGTTGTAGGTCCAGGACTACTTGTACTGCAGCTTCTCTCCAGTTGTGTTTTTAATAATTTCCCCTTCTGTTTTATTAAATATAACGTTTGATGGCAATATTTAGAGGCTTCTGAGAGCCATACATATTTCAGGGATCCCAGTCTGTACGCTTTTGCTAAAAAGGATAACCACTGAAATCTTTTCTGGTTAATGGTTGCTTAAGTTTTACATAGGCCTATACAGCAACAATACCCATTTGGGGAAATTGTCATCTTTGGCAATATATAGCATTTAACTCTAGACTGTTTGTGTGTGCTGATAGGAAGCTTTGGATTTCACGTTATTTGGATCAGATACTTGGAGCCAATGTGATGCTGCAAATCTAAAGATCTGAACTTTAGATTCAGGACCTACTGTGCTAGGTGTCAAGAGAGGAGGTGGACACTAAGGCTCAAAATTTCAGGGAGTGGTGCTTTGGGGAAAGCACCACTTTGAGTTGAGTCAAGACCAACTCAAGGAGACGGTGCTCATCTCCGATTCTCAGCCGAGGGAGCCTGCGTTGTCTGAGAAATGATTCCATCATCATGTGGCCAGCATGAAAATACAGAACGTAGTAACCTTTCCCGCCAAAGTGATACTTATTTATCTATTTGCATTTGCATGATTCCTAACTGCCAAGTTGGCAGGATTTGGGGCAAACAAAGGGAGATCATCGCACCACGCAGTACTTGGGTCTTGACCCTGGGCTGTTGGCATTCCAGCTGACAAGACCACTGTGCCGTCACGTCACTCCAGTAAAGAGTAGAACTTTTCAAATCTGAATTTCTGTTCAGGATGTTTACTTATTTATTTAACCTAAAACAGTGTTTCCCAAGTAGTCAAGAGAAATGGATAGAATGGTTAAGAGTATGTGAGGTGGGAGAAATTGGCACAGGCCACAATTGGCGCCAGAATTTCTGTTGTTAAGTGAATTGCACCCAATTTTATGACCTTTTTTTTTTGGGCCACACTTGTTAAGCCAGTCACTGCTGTTGGTAAGTGAATCAAACAATTGTTAAGTGAATTCAGGTTCTCCGTTGATTTTGTTTGCCAGAAGATGGTAGGAAGGTTGCAAATGACAACCACATGAGCCCAGAATGCTGCAGCTGTCATAAATACATGCCAGTTGCCACGTGCCCAAATTTTGATCATGTGACCCTGGGGATACCATGGTGGTTGTAAGTGTTCAGAGCTGTTGTAACTTTGAAAGGTAATTAAACAAAATTAAGGATTATTTGTAGTAAGTGAACTTTTAAGATTTTTACATAAGCTAGAAAAGAATAGTCACAATTTCAGTTAGTGATTATTACATTGACTCTATTAATATTAATATTATGGTGTCTCTATCCTCTCAGTTTTTTTTTTTTAATTTTCTTGTAACCGCTTTCAGAACACTTAGTTTTCTTAACGGTATTTGTATCCTCAATATTCTTTATTGTAAATTTTATATAGATAATAAATCTAAGCAGTTAAATCTATTATCAAAGAATAGTAAATTTATTATACAGGGTAGATGGTTTGTAGCTTTCTGTAGAAGTAAGGACTATTACATTTGAAAAGCAGCAATTCACATTATTAATGTATGTTGCAGCTGCAAGTTAAAAAAAAACAACAAAAAGAATTTTCTTTTGCTGTTAATTTCTCAGTAGCTTTGAATAAGGATATATATATCCTGCTGGAGTTTTAAGATTACTGGAGAGATTATTTGCCAAACAAAGGCCGTAATACTTTCTAAAAAGCTTAAGACTGGAATATTAAAGCCATTCCTGATATTCCATTAATATTCCAACACTGCATTTGGCAACATTTTAATTCTGAAGAGAGTGCATGAGTTCAAGGTCAGCGAGATTGACTTGCGCTGTTCATTATAACCAATTATTGTGTGACAAATGAGTTTCAGATCAGGCTGAAAATTCTGTAAGAAAAATCAATAGTTCTAATCAGGGCCTTTCAGGTCATTTACCATCCTACCTTTTGTTAGTTTGTCAGAAAAGAGCAAGATAAAACCTGTGTGACACAGTGGGCTGCCTCTTATTGTTACTGCTTCCATTTGAAACAATATTTGAGTTCTTGAATTATATTAATAGTTTAATTAGTTTCACAACTTCTAAATGAGTTCCGATTTAGAAGGCTTCAGTTTCAGCTTTCTGATTTGCTGTATTTAAAAAAACCCAAGTAATATTTTTTTTTGCCTCCTCATTGCTTGTTTGATTAATTGCTCATAAACCTTTGTTAGCAGCTTTGTCATTAAAGACAGGGCATTTCAGTTAATTTAAAAATACCATTGGGAAAGCATGCCATCTTTTTAACAAGTGTCCCTTTTTTGGTGTTGGTGTTGGGGACAAAGTTGGGTTTTTACCACACATACTGTGTTTTCCAGCGTATAAGATGACTTTCTAAGGCGTGGAAATTGGCGCGGAAGTCGGGGGTCGTCTTATACGCCGAGTCATCTTATACACTGGAAATTACGGTAGTTTCTGGTGTATAAGACGACTTTCTAGGCACGGAAATCGGCGCCGAAGTCGGGGGGTCGTCTTATACTCCGAGTCGTCTTATACGCCGGAAAATACGGTAATAACTTTCTTTTGTGGCTACCCTGCAGTTTCCCGATGAAGATGAAGAAACCAGACAGTACCGTTTGAAGATTGAGGAACAGAAACGCCTCAGGGAAGAGATCTTGAAACAAAAGGAGCTCAGGAGGCAGCTTCAAGCTGGGGCCCGAAAAAGAGAATTGCTAGAAAGGCTGGCACAGCAGCAGCAATGTCAACAACAACAGCAAAGCCCTGCAGGCCAAGAGCAGGAAGAAGACCCTTCAGAGCTTCCTACCAATGGAAATCCATTGCTTTCTCTTCCTGTTGCACAGCCCCTCCAAAATGTGAAATACAGACTAATGGTTAAAAAACAAGACCCGGTCCTTCCAGGTTCCCCAGCTGTTCTGCCTAAGCCTGCAAATGTTCTCCAGGCTGGAGATGGTGCACAATTTCCAGGACAGCAAATAAAGCCCATAAAGCAACTACGGCAGGCTAGGACAGTGCCTGAAAATGAGTTCCAGCTGCCCTATAAAGCTTTGCAAGCGAAGCCTGCTGCTGCTGCACAGGTGAACCTGTCCCAGATTAGTCGGGTGGCCTTGGTGCAAGGCCAGCCTCAAGAGGTGAAGCCTGGGATGAAAAGAACTGTCATGCAGCGGGCAAACAGTGGGAGTGGCGATGGGCCCCATATCGGCACCAAAGTCAGGGTGATAAAATTATCAGGAGGGGTAAGTTACCAGGCATGTCTCTTATTTTTGTGATCTGTCCTGTTGGGGTCATTCTCAGAAGCTCAGATATAGAATAGTCTGGCCAACACCCATATTTAGCTTTTCCCCTATTAACTTTGAGGGTAAAGACACTAATGATATGATTTCTTCACCTACACTTAATATCCTTTATTATGATCTTAAATGGCCACATTGAACTGATGGGGTTACATCATACGGGCTAAATGTTAAGTAGTGTAAAATACACTCCTTGGGATGATTATTTAGCAGAAACAGTAAACATTTGATATTTAACTAATTACAGCAGAAAGTAGCAGTGAATATAGGTAAGTAACTATATATGGTTAAAATCCAAAAGAACAATACTTTGTTCCAGTAGCAGAATAAACATGCTCAGAACATTGCATTCTGCTTACTTAGGCTTAAGTCACAAACTAGAGCCAGAAAAACTTAGACTTCTAGACTTAAGATATACTGTAATTTCCATTGAATGTATATTGTATTATTTTTACACCAGGAAATGAGATATAACGGGAGTCCCCAATCCCTGGGCCACAGCCCACTCCCGGGCTGTGGTCTGTTCAGAACTGGGCTGTGAAAGAGGCGGACGAGGCACATGTGTGCACAGCTCTACTTGCATGTGCAGCAGGTGTGCATGCCTGCTGGTTGTGCAAATGGAGCTGCGTGTGGGTGCTCTCCCGCCACTTGTGCAGAACTATCCTCTCTCTTACCCCTCCCCCCCACTCCCCGCCAGTCTGCAGAGCCAGAAAGGTTGGAAACCGCTATGATACAAATCAAAAGACTGGGAGAGAATAGTAAGCAAAAATAGTTCAGTTTAGATGGATGTTGCATGGAGACACTTTGGAGCTGGAAGAAAATGGGCAATCATTTTTGTGATAAAAAGTGCAATTAGTCTTTGGGAATTTACACATATAAAAGTGTGTAAGATCCAACTGAAAAGGGTGAGTTTTCCTAAAATATGATCCAGTGACAAAGATCATATAAATAGAACCTTTTTTCCTTGGATTGTAATATTACAATTTAAAGTTATTCATTGAAATTGAATGTGGAGTGGCTCAAGACCTACAGAAAGAAATATTTTTTTATTCTGAAATTGGAGAATTTGCTGCCAGTAATTACAGTAATAGCAGCCCATTTAAAAATGAACTCCAGAGATTTATCAGAGATTAGGTTATCAGTGACTTCTGTTAATTGATGGTTGTTTAGAAGCTTCTGAACCATAGCTGGGAAATAGTGATGAAAAGGGACATCATTATTACTATCATTATTATATGCACAACAATGTGAAATCACAGCTGCCATTTTTAGCCGGTATTAGGCTTTGTGCACGTTAAGTTCTTCCCAAGAACCTAGGATGCATAACATAGCTGCGGATCCAAGCAGTGTGGCCTTTTGTAATTGGCAGATGGAAATTTTGTTAATGCGCCTGTTTTCGGAGGGCCATCCAGGATTTTTGGTAAGGCAGTCCAGGTACTGATAACCACTAAGACCACCATGGTAGGTTTGTCCTGTAATCTTTCAATTTCCATTTTCGTATCTAATGGTTGTATTTATTATTATTTAAGTGTAGATGCCATCCAACTTCCAGCCACTGCTGGGTAGTTTACCAGTGATTTAAACAAAGAAAAGCAGTAAAAACAAGGCAGAAAAAAGGATAGAGGACAGAATAAGGAACAGGGAAGAAATGAAAGAGAATGACCTAAATTAAGAGATGTCAGTCACCCCAAGACGGTGGGGAAGAGGGCATTTATATCTCCAAGGACCCTTGTTTCATAAGGTAGGCACTGCAATAGAGAAGTGCCCTCCTGGGTCCCTGCAGAGGGCAATCCTTAAATGAAGGAGCCTGGAGCATGCTAACCTTGCCAGATCATATTGGTTGAGGGAGGGCTATTCAGTTTTGACACAGATGAACCTCTTTGACTCCTCTTTCAGACCAGTGGCCCTCTCTGTCCAAAATGTGGACTTTGCTGTCTTCAAAAGAGTTACCCTTGTCTTTATTTATTTATTTATTTATGAGACTTATATACCGCTTTTAAGTGCAAGCACTCTCTAAGCAGTGTACACCAGTAAGCAATGTGTATATATATTTACATTGCCCCCAACAATCTGGGTCCTCATTTTACCTACCTCGGAAGGATGGAAGGCTGAGTCAACCTTCAGCCGGTGAGATTTGAACTGCTGACTTGCTGAACACAGTCAGCTAAAGTGGCCTGCAGTATTGCACTCTAACTGCTGTGCCACCTCGGCATCTTTCAGATGCAGATGCACTGCATATACGACATTGCTCTGTTTGTGTCAGGGTATTTTGCCCTTTGGGTGGACAAGCTTCTGTCTTAATGTATTCTTGGTTTTAAAAGTGTGCATGTATGTTGTGTTGGATGAAAATTATCACCAAAGAGGGGAAAGAGAAAGAACACACATCAAGGAAGGGAGCCTTCAGAACTTTGTAACTATCCTAACTGAGCCTTCATCAAGTCCACAAAAAGATCCAGCAGGACCTCCTTTGGAGCAACAAACAGCAACATCATTCCAAAGGTTGTAGGAATATTGGAAAAGCTTGGGAGGATTTTCAGCCAATATAACATACATGCACACTGTAAGCCCAGGAATGCATTAAGGTAGTAGCCTGTCCACTCTAAGGACAAAATATCTAGACACAAACAGAGCAATGTGATATATGTGGCGCAATGCAGCGAGATATGTGTAACCTGCCCATTGGGGAAACAAACCTCACAAAAGCATGACACAACACATAAAAACAAACTCATCAGGACAGGATTCAGCAGTCCATCTGCATCTGAAAGACAAAGGTCACTCTTTTGAAGACAGCCAAGTTCACATTCTGGACAGGGAGAAGCACTGGTTTGAAAGAGGGGTCAATGAGGCCATCTTATATTATTATATCTTATGTTATATCTTATGATTTATAATGAATGTATTTTATGGTTATTATCATGATTTATCACTTGTTGCTTCAACAAGAGAGCTAATGCACCGGAGACAAATTCCTTGGCCAATAAAGAATTCTGTATCCAAATTGAACAGCCCTCTCTCAACAGAGAGGGAGGGATATGACACCACATATCTCCTGTTTACAACACAATCGTTTCAGCAGCCCCAAGAAGGTTCCACGTGTGTTTGCACTCTGATTTAGGTGACTCTGAGCCTACAGATAAACCCTAAGTCAGTGGTTCTCAACCTGTGGGTTGGGACCCCATTTGGGGTCGAACGACCATTTCACAGGGGTCGCCAAACAACACAGTCCGCCATTTTTTTCCACCTTTTCCTTAGCTGTGCTGCTCCCTTTTATTCTATTGGCTTTTGAAAGCCAATAGAATAGACTCTCTTGAATAGAGTCTAATTCTATTGGCTTTCAAAAGCCAATAGGAATTGTCCAGGCTGTTTCTGCCCTGCTGAGCCCACCCAAAGTCCCATTCTGCAAACGGTGCTGCACCAGTTGAGCAGTCCTTGACTTACGACCGGTTGAGTAGTCCTCGACTTACGACTGGTTGGGGGATCGCAGCATTAAAAAGGTTGAGAACCACTGCCCTAAGTGGTCTCCATGACCAACCCTCAAGACTGCAAAGAATATAAACTCTTCCATTTCCCCACCAGTCTTTTAGAATGCATTTCTCAAAGGAGAAAAGAAAACCTAGAAAGTCCAGTTGCCTTTTGGGAAAAATACCTTTGGGATAACTGTGACTGGGATGATTGAGAAATCTCCATGATGGTATCAGAGGGTGAAACATAGGTTCCAGGTGATTTAATAAAGCAGTGCAGCTATGGATCTTAATTCACTTTGTAAATCACACTAAAGCAGTGTTTCTCAACCTTGACAATTTTAAGGCATGTGGACTTCAACTCCCAGAATTCCACAGCCAGCATTGCTGGCTGTGGAATTCTGGGAGTTGAAGTTCACATGCCTTAAAATTGTCAAGGTTGAGAAACACTGCACTAAAGTAAAAACATAAAAGATTTCTGCCATGCAGTTCTTTTCACACTAAGCATGCCTCCAGCTACTTCAGGGCAAGGTATGCCGAAGAAGTAAGTTCCTGTGAAAAAGATTACAGGTAGACCCTGTGACCACAACGGGAACAAGAATTTCCATTACTAAGTGAGGGGGTTGTTGAGTGAGTCAGACCCAATTTTATGACCTGTTTTGGCATGTTTTGTTAAATGAATTACTGGAGTTGTTAAGTGAATCACAGAGACGTTAAGTGAATCAGTTTCCCCATTGAATGCTTGTCAGAAGCCAGCTGGGAAGATCGCAAATAGCAATCAGGTGACCCCAGGACACCGCAGCTGTAGTAAATTAATGTTGGTTGCCAAGTTTGATCATGTGAATAAAGGATGCTGCAACAGTTGTAAGTATGAGGACTGGCCACAAGCCACTTTCTTGAGTGCCACTGTAAGTTTGAACAGTTGCTAAATCAAATGTTGTGAGTTGAGGATATGACTTATATTCAAAAGGTTTCTGGGAAAAGTGATATAATCATAGTATTGTTCTTTTATTGACAAGCATCTAGTTCTATGCCAGTGGTTCTCAACCTTTTTAATGCCGTGACCCCCCAACCGGTCGTAAGTCGAGGACTACTCAACCGGTCGTAAGTCGAGGACTACTCAACTGGTGCAATTGTCCAGACAGCCTGGACAATTCCTATTGGCTTTTGAAAGCCAATAGAATTAGACTCTATTCAAGAGAGTCTATTCTATTGGCTTTCAAAAGCCAATAGAATAAAAGGGAGTAGCACAGCTAAGGAAAAGGGGGAAAAAATGGCAGACTGCGTTGTTTGGCGACCCCCGTGAAATGGTCGTTCGACCCCAAATGGGGTCCTGACCCACAGGTTGAGAACCACTGTTCTATGCAGATATATATGACATTACTTTGATTTTTTTTCTGAATGTTAGATACTCTGTTTATTTGTAAACATGAGCAGCCTTGCAAATAGCTCAAGTAAGTAATTAACTCATTTATTTTA